AAAAAAAAAAAAAAAAAACATGATTCAATTATAATTTTTTCTGAAATGAACTTCAACAAAGATATTTTTTTTACTCACACGTAATCTTATAATTAATCTTACTTTATAATTTTTAGCTAGAATTTGGTAATCATCTCTTATCTAATTTTCAATGCAAATCAGTGAACTTGTCACGACGTTGCCTTGTGACAATTCTCGTGGTCAAACTTGTTAAATCTTTTCTTAATTAAACAGTTGATTAAGATCCCGTGGTCTCATCTCACAATCGAATTACAATGGTCATTTGAACTTTTAACTTTCTAGAAATTTGTCACACGATTATGTTTGATTTGTCGACCTTCGGATGCATGATAAGATCACGTTTGACCCCTTGAAATAAATTAATTTATAAATAAACTCCATAAAAAGAGGAAACAGGGAGAAGACAGTCCGATTGCAAGAGAGACTCACAATACGAGCAGCTATGAGTAAGCGAGGTCCTCCTCCTCCTTATATAATAGTACAGTCGAACTCGTTTATAACGAGCACAAAGGGACCGTAACATGTACTCGTTAAATCCGAGTGCTCGTAATAAACGGGTCCTTAAGGCAGGCGTGCATCCAGAAGAGGGGGAGAGGTCAAATTATTGAGTTTACATAAAATTTAATTAATACTTACTTACTTTAATTAATTTAATTAAATACTTTTCTTAATTTAATGACAACTATCCCCCCCCCAACCAGCAAAAAATTTCTTGTTGCGCTACAGTCTTAAAGGAGAGAAGCAATAAACGGAAAGAAAAATAAAGGATTTTTTAATTTCGCGAGCATTTCTTATCATTTTGAAAAAAAGATTGCAAGACAGAAAAATATTGCTCGCTAAAACCGGGTTTTGCTCGTTAAAAGCGACTTCTGTTCCATAGATTTAACATTCATCCAACCAAATATTCTCGTTTCCCTCGGTAAATCCGAGTTCTCGTTAAATCCGAGCTCGTTATAAACGAGTTCGACTGTATTATGATTAAGTAATAAGTAAAATATAATTATAACTTTTAATTTGGATATTTTCATTAAAAACAATACCCGTCCCATTCTAAAAAAGGTAGGGTATACTTTGTGCTTTGGAGACTAAAACAAAACGGAAAAAAACGTAAATAAAGCACAAAATGAAAGTGCAGATATGGTTGTATAGTTTGTCTACCATAAGGACTCCCCCCGACACAAAGTCTGCGGTCGTCTGCTGCTATGGAAACAAGAACAGCGCATTTTAGGGAAGATAACTTCTCTTCACTCTAGGGCTAACACAATAGAACGAAGAAAAAGATTCCCTTTCTCTCGCCGATCTGAGCCAAAACCTGTCCCAAACAATAACCCCACACCTCTACTTGAAATCGTTATACCTCGTTACTATAGTCACCGACACGGGTCCGGACGAACAGGTAGGGGAGTTCTTACTTTAGACAAACTATACTATAGTTTCAGTTCTATAAGCAAGAACATTCCCCCGTGTCTGATCACCAAATGATGGAAGAGAAAATAATTTTAATAATTTAGTTAATGATCTTTCTAGTATCCCACTTTATCCCAATAATTGGAAATCTGGCTGAATTTAATCTTTTGCCTCTTGGGGTTCCCGCCAAACCCCCCTCACACTTCTCAACTATCATTTAGTGTTTAAACGCAGAGGAAGTTTTTTTTGCTTATTGTACAGAAACTATTGCATGTATTTTTCTGTATTTTCATTTGTGAATTTCTTCGCTTTCTTTTCTCTTTGGCTTTAGCAAATCAATGACTTTATAAAATGCATCACGTTTCATCTCTAATTCGAACATCAAATTTGATTCCCTTGTTGATGGGAAAAAATCTTTTCTTATTTTGACTGAATTTTATTATTGCCAGCTGCCATGATATTGCACACACTTAAGAAATTGCTTCTTCTTTTATTATTGGAATAAAATATCCATTTAAAGTTTTATACAACTGATTAAATGGTGCTTGTTATTCCCATAAATTTTTTTATTATGTCCTCAGAAAATAAAAAATTTCTTTGTCCTACGGGAGTAACATCTAAGGACGATTTTTTTCCTTAGTACTACGGATTATGACCGCTTTACTCGCCAATCCTTTGATAGCTACAAAAATTATTTGATTGCTACCCTTGATGATAAACAATTACACATTTACATTATAAATTATTCAAATGAAAGATTCCAAACTGCTTTATTGCATTAACTACACGGTGTGTAGCGTTTTTAAAAAGTGCTTAAAGGTGCTTATTTTCGTTTTTTAAAAGCGCTTAAAAATACTTTTTTCTTTTTGTGTTTTTAAAAGGTGCTTAATTTTCGCTTTTCGAAAATGAGATTTATTTCTTCTTTTCTATGTCGATTTTCGCCACGTATTATGCAAATGCGTGCTTTTCACATTGTTCTATTCAACGTTTTTCACAATTCATTCAAACTCAATCTATTTCGGCGTACAGCTTATAAAAGCGCAATCATTTTATATGTTTGATGAAATAGTTGCGAGTCC